TTTTACAGTTGATACCCTAAGCTTATTTCATATAGAATGGCAGCATGTGTAACAGTTGTAAATATGCAGTGGTGTTTATTTGTAAATCATTTAGTATAATCACACAAATTCTGTGTTTTATAATTAATAATTATGTGTTCTTTATTTATTGAATGTTCAATACCTGACAGTACAATACATATGTATAATATCAGTTAAAATAAGTGCTTAAACATAGCCTACAGTAGTTAACATTGCAGGAAAGCAATATATCAATACTTTGTTTACATTACATTACATTACATTGCATTTAGCTGACGCTTTTATCCAAAGCGACTTACAATAAGTGCATTCGACCAGGAAGATACAACCTTGAAGAAAACAGAATCATATAAGTACATCAGGTTTCATAGAGCCAAACATTTCAAGTGCTTCTCAACTGGCTTTAGAAAGCCAGCCCTTTATTAGTATATAAGTGCTTTGTTAGTAATTCTATCGCTCGAAGTGGAGTCTAAAGAGATGAGTTTTCAGTCTGCGCCGGAAGATGTGTAAGCTTTCTGCTGTCCTGATTTCAATGGGGAGCTCATTCCACCATTTTGGAGCCAGGATAGCAAACCCACGTGTTTTTGCTGATGGGAACTTGGGTCCCCCTCGCAGTGCGGGTGCAGCGAGCTGTTTGGCTGATGCAGAGCGGAGTGCACGTGCTGGGGTGTACGGTTGAACCATGTCCTGGATGTAGGAAGGGCCAGATCCATTCGCAGCATGGTACGCAAGTACCAGTGTCTTGAAGTGGATTCTAGCAGTTACTGGAAGCCAGTGAAGGGAGCGGAGGAGCGGCGTGGTGTGGGAGAATTTAGGAAGGTTGAAGACCAAACGAGCCGCTGCATTCTGGATGAGCTGCAGAGGTCGGATGGCACATGCAGGTAGACCAGCCAGGAGGGAGTTGCAGTAGTCTAGGCGTGAGATGACGAAAGCCTGGACCAGAACCTGCGTCGCTTTCTGGGTCAGCTGGGGACGTATTCTCCTGATGTTGTAAAGAGTGTATCAGCAGCAGCGGGTTGTAGCAGCTATATTTGCAGTGAAGGACAGTTTGTTATCTAGGGTCACACCTAGATTCCTTGCAGTCTGAGTCGGGGAAACAATCGAGGTGCCGATGTTACTGCTACATACTTATACCTGAATCTGTACTTTTGTAAAAAGCTCACTAAAATTGTTATTTTAAATATTATGTGCATGCCTTTCATCTAATAATGTTGTATTATTTGTTATCTCTATCTATACTTTGCTGTACCAATGTAAATTTCCCCTCGACGAATAAAGGAATTCTGATCCTGTTTTATACAGCTTTTCTTAAATACACGATACAAAGCACCCACAACACCAAAAATACTGCTGCAGTTTACTACTACTACTACTACTACTACTACTACTTCTACTACTACTATTACTACTACTACTATACTATACAATATTAATAAATGATAATAAAAACAATAATATATTGTATTTTTTCCTGTCATTTTATTTGTTTTTATTTAAAAACATCTTCATTTTAATTTATTTCAGTTTTAATATCAAATAAATAAGTCAATAAATAACAAAAATACTTTATTAAAAAAATAAAAACGAATCAGCGGAACCTTTACTCAAGTACGGTTGTTCCAGCCGAACTCAGTTAAGCGCTGCACACAACATGTGGAAAACAAATGGTCAAAGTCAGTCATCTTTTTACATTAAATAACGCTCAGTTGCAGCAAAACCTGCCTTCATTGTTAGTGTATTAGTGATGTTAATACTGACCCTCAGGTAAGTGGAGACATTAACCCTTGTGACGTGTTAAACCTCACAGTTACATGTAACGGTGATGTTTTGCTAACATGCTAATCATACCGGAATACTTTCATGTAACACTCTGTTTATAAATGCGTGGGATTCAAATAAATTTAACATGTAATTCAAATGCAGAAATGCATATATGTATTTCGTATAATATTGTAGTAGTTATTATAGCTCAGTATAATACATAATAAAGCTAAATAAGTATTCAGATCTTGTAAGTAAAAATAAGTAGTACCAGAGTGTAGGAATACTCAGTTACAAGTAAGAGTCCTGCAATACAATGTTACTCAAGTAAAAGTACAAAAGTATTATCATCAACATATAGTTAAAGTAGCGACAATAAAAGTAGTCATTGTGCAGATTGGAATTTCAGAATAATATATATGATATGTTTTATAATGATTGATCATGAAAGTCTTCTCAAAGCTGGTAAAGGTGCAGCTAGTTTGAATGACTTTGCATACTGCAAGGTAGCTTGTGGATTTACTCCAGGTGGAACTAAAGTCTGATTTAACACTTGATTATATTTCACATCATTCATCCACATCAGTAAAGTAACTAAAAGTATTAAATACATGTCGGCGTAAAAGCACACCATTTACTCAAGTACAGTACTTGAGTAAATCTACTTGGTTACTTTAGCGAGGCTTCACTAACACCTTGTCCTTCCTCAGCTGCTGGCAGGTCTGACCGCAGGGACCATGATCTGTCTCCTCCTGTCCCGGGGGCTTCTTCCTGGGATACAGCTGTGCTCTGTCACCCGGCAAAGGCTCCATAAACTGGCTTCACTCCAGAATGTCAGAATGCTTCCTCCAAAGACAGTCCAAAGCTTACTTTACCCCTTCAGTCGGATGGAGCCTTACCTGGACAGGTACTGTATTTTTTTGTCCACACCCGGACAGTGTTGGAAGAAGTACTCCATTACTTAAGTAAAAGTACAAATACTATGGTCTTAAAATACTCTACTAGAGGTAAAAGTCCCGATTTCAAAATGTTACATAAGTAAAAGTACAAAAGTGAGTGATAAACATTCATCTGTTTGTCATCTTAAAATCTACTTATTTATCGAAATAGTTATCACCGTAATAAACCTTATCGAATTTCGTCTTACTGTACAATATTTAATTTGACATTCTTTTTTTGTATATATCATATTCTATTTACGTGTATATAGACTTCTTGCACTATTTTTTTATTAGTTTTTTTGTATTTTATTATATATGTTGCATCGTTGGAGGAGCTCGGGTCAGAGGAAGTGAATTACCATTTCTACACTGTAGCTTGTGTGCATAGGAAATTCAAACCTTTGAAAAGCATTAGCATCAAAATATACTTAGAGTGCACTCTTCACCTTTGTCTCTTAATTGTAGCAGAGGCTTGAGTGAAGCATTTCCAAGCAGTAAAAGCAGGAAGTGAAAGGACTCATTCTGCACAATCACCCATTTGATAATAAAATCAAATACAGAAGAATGATCAGCTAAATGTTCGTAAAGTATCAAAAGTACATGTTAACAGAAGGGATCTTTTGACAGTATATTATTGTTATGGTTATTGTATCATCCTGTCTTTCTTTACACATGTAAGTAACAGCATTTTAGTATCGCATTTTTCTCAATGTGGACCAAATGTAGGTACTGAAAATACCGTGCAGATTAGTAGTACAGTACTGCATTCTACCATTTTGTCATACGTCCAACGTAACTGTGTTAAAGTAAATGTAGTGCAGAAGAAGAAAAAAGTAGCATAACATGGAAATAAGTAAGGTACAAATATGTCAAAAGTACCAAAGTTCAATACCTGAGTAAATGTACTTTGTTACTTTGAACAACTGCATCTGGGATGTTTGACTAGATGATTCTCTCCATGTTTTCCTTCATCTCCCCTGAATGTGATTTGTATCAAGTGAAATGGAATGCCCCTTTCAGGTCGGTGGACCGCTCTCAGTTCCAGCACTTCCATCCCAGCGTGAAGGACATGATCAAAGCAGAAACTCTCTTCCATTCCTCGCCGTCTCATAAGATCGATTACCGCATCTCTGCAGAGCGGTTGGACCATGTTCCTGTCCTGAAGCCACCAGAGGTCAGTGGGCAGCCCCCTCTCACTGTTATCCCCCCAGCTGTGCAGTGTTTTGGCATCTGCTACATTCAAACCCATGGGCTCCTCCCACAGACTTCCCAGTTGTTTTTCATGTTTAACCTAAAGCAACTCCTCCCAACAACCCTTGTGTTGTTCACATGCAGGTGTCTTATTAAAGGGTACACAAAGAGAGTAGAGTTTGTGTAAGCTACCATTTAAATAATTCATGATACTGTGGCGGTGTGCAACAAATTTTTCTTCGAAGAAGCCAGGCAGTGAAGAATGTACCCCGGGTCTCGCAAATCTCCCCTTCATCTGATAAAGTTAAACTGTAAATACAATTACAAAAATATTCAAATTGATTGCACATGCAAGGACATTTTCTTACATCACAGTTACTGCAAACCTTTGTGTTTGCACTGTATGACAACTGTGATGTTGATGAATTGATAGTCAGATTACCCTGTGTTCTCTTATGCTCTCTGTGTCCACCATGAGCAGATGTCGTGTCACTTTCAGATTTGCATTTCTCAAATTGCATTAGTCCATGTCCTAGGCACATCAAACACAGGTGCAGTTATTCTGTAATGAACAAGTGTTGTAAAAAGCACCCCAACTCTAGCGTTAAACCCTTGTCACTGAGAGCACAGACCTTGCCGAGTTTCCTGATTTTGGAAGTCATGTTTCAGACTTTGTTGTGCTCCTTAGCTTCGTATCCTAACGTGGAAACCACACAGATGTGTTTTGTTTTATTGCTATGACCAGCAAGTTTGACTTGTTTTTCTGAATTCAGGGGGCGTCCAGATGAGTTGTAGGCTACATGTCAGGAAACTCCATCTCTGGATGTTCTTATGACACATTTACGCAGCACAGAGTGAAACATAATATGTGTATCCGCTACAAAAATGTAAGCAATTCTGCTGACAGACAGACAAAAAAGCTTTGTTGGTGAGATTGTAGCTTCTTCTTCTAAATCCATGCTGCTTCACATTGTCCCTCCTCAGCTCGAAACGTAGACACTCAGTGTGTGGAAAGGAAGCGTAATGTCTCTGCAGCCTAATACATAATGAAGCATGAGCTGACAGCTGATGATGCATGAGCAGATATGTAACCTTACAGACAGTGGTGTTCAGCAGGGGCGTCAGAATGGAACAGTGTTGGTAGGACAGCGGGGGCTCAGTCACCCCCCCCCCCCTCTCCGCTCTGTCACCGATGATGTATGTGAGCTCCCTGCATCCATCTGCCTGTCTGAGAGAGTGATGAGCCGCTGCTGT